ATTCAGGAAGAATTTTTCAAATAAGTCAAATTCGAGAACACAGTAGCCACCTGAGCTCATGTATACAGATGCGTGTAGTCCAATCAAGCAAAGCTCTTTTGATAAGAGTAATTATTCTCTTCTTTTCATATATGAATTTTCAAGAAAAACTTGGGTATATTTTTTGAAGAAAAAATCGGTGGTCTTTAGAGTATCCAAGAAGTTCAAAGTTTTGGTGGAGAAAGAAAGTAGCATTGAGTTCAAAGAAATAAGATCTGATTGAGCAAGTGAGTTCATTCCAAATGAATTTCAAAATTTTTGTGAATCCCATTGAATATGTTAACCATTGATTACCTCAAGATGAGACTAGTGGAGGTCTAGGACATCCTGGACTTAGATTACCTCAACGATTACCTCAAGATCCATAAAAAAAAAGTATAACAAAAAGAAGGAATTAAACTATTTTTAAGATGGCTTGGAGTATGCTTAAGGCTTAGAGGATGCCTAACGAGTTTTGGACTAAAGCTGTTGCGTGTGTGGTTTACTTATCCAATCAATCTCCAATAAGAAGTGTGTATGAAATGATACTGCAAGAAGCATGAAGTGGAAGGAAGCTCGGCATCTCCCATTAAATGGTGAGAGACCTGCCTTGCATCACCCCAACCAGATATGTGAAGTTTGCTTGCTAGAGAAGAAATTTAGGAAGAATTTTTCAAATAAGTCAATTTTGAGGGTACAATAGCCACTTGAGCTCCTATACGAGTGTGTGTAGTCTAATCAAGCAAAGTATATGTGCATGTATCATATGAGCAACAAAGTAAACTAGATGATTAAAGTTAGAAGTTTAATTTCATCATTTATGACTCCAATTTGAAAGACTATAAGTTGTACAATCCAAAACCTAAAAAAATAATTATGAGTCATAATTTTATAATAAATGAAGTAGGAGAATGAATTTAGAACCCACTTGATGAGAACTACAATTTATTTATATATTTTGAGAATGAAGAAGTAGAGAAAGCAATGATGAAGCAAAAAAGGGAGGATCTTACTACACCACCAACGTCATGTACTCAATAGCATTAATGATCTCCACCATCTTCAACATGTTTAAGCAAAAGGGTAGTTATAGAAATTTATGAGATAATCTCACTCTCTTTTGCCTTTTTGCTAATTGTGATATCATGAATTTTCAAGAAGTCATGCAAAGCAAGAAGTGGAAGGATGTAATGGATGCAAAAATCATGGTGATTGAGAAAAAATGATGCTTGGAAGCTAGTTGTACTTCCAAATGTAAACAAAGCAATTGATGTAAAGTGGATGTACAAGCAAAGAAAAAAATGCCGAAGGAAAGTCAAAAAGTACAAAATAAGATTGGTGGCAAAATTAAAGAAAAAAATGTTAATATATCTTGGTATAAAATATATCAAGACTATATTGAAAATTATTGGATTAACTTTGAGATAAGTGCCATATGTATGAAAAAATTGCATTGCACTATTTTAAAGCAAATCTAATAAATTTCAAACTGATTTTCATACAATTTATTATATAAGATAAGTGCAATATGTACGAAAAATGTGCATTGCACTATTTTGTTGCCAATCTAATAAATTTCAAACTGATTTTCATACAATTTATTATATAAGATAAGTTCCACATGTATGAAAAATTTGCACTGCACTACTTTAAAGCCAATCTAATAAATTTCAAACTGATTTTCATACAATTTATTATATAATATGCTAATATAATTTGTATTCAATCATTAATCTCATCTAACAAACAAAATACCCTTAAAATATCCATTAAATTTTTTTCCTAATAAAAATAACTAGCATCTTTGTAATGATATAAAAAAAGGCTCAAAATATTTTGAATAAATTATTTGCGATGCTACTTTAATCCCATTTTTTGCTTGCATCACACCTAAGGAATATAATATAATAAGGATAGACAACGAGGGAGAGAAGGAAAAGAGGGACCTTTCATGCTCGACCCTTCATATTCGATCTTCCGTACTCGACTCTTGATACTTGGCCCGCTAGTACTCAATATTGGGCACTCGACCGATCGTTGCCCAAAGGTCTAGCACTACAAATTCATTCCTTAGTTGTCCATTTTTGGACTCATCCCTTTGTTGGGCTTGAACTAGCTAAGAAAGGCCAAAAACCATTCGTTCTTCGTTGATCTGATTAGTTGTCTTTGGTTGTGTATTGTTTTAAAAATTGTTTGATTTCATTAAAATAAATATTACTATATGCTGAAAAATTCATGATAATAAAAAAATGTATTGCCTTGGCATCATATAAAAATTGAGCACATCAAAATAAGATAAATCAAGACCTCTTAAGTGAGGCAATGGATTTTAATATGAAAATACACACACACACACACACATATATTATCATAGTTTATATTATAGGTTACAAATGAAGACTTCCTATGAAATTAGAAAATTCACTAATACAAGATAGTAGATATGAACTGTGAAGGAAAGATTCCATATTACAAGTTGAAGCAACTTCAAGACATTTGGAAAAATCTTTAAGAGATCATTAATAATCTATTTGGTTTTTCTCATTAGAGGGTAGACCAAAGATAAAAAAAGTTAAATATAAGCCTTATTATCAATGTCAAAAGTTAGTGTTGGTCGTGATAGAAGGTGCTGTCCAAGTTGATGGAGGCAAATGAAAAGTGTGTACGTTTTAGTTTTAGTTTTAGTCAACTAGGAGCACCAAACAACTTTATTGGTGATCAAATGCATCAATGTTACTAGCCACAATGATGGTAGATGTTGTTGTCGATATCAAGAACATTCATTGATCTTGCCGATAATTGTGCACATCAAAATTAGCAAGTGCTAGTTTTAAAGTTAACGACATGCATCATCATTAGTATTGCTAGCAATGACAGGTGATACATTTCACAAATGCACTTTCATGCCAATAATTTGCAATCTTATTAGCAATATAGTTCGTTAATATTATTAGTGAAGTCAGGCAACTTAGTTAACATACATTAACATTAGAGTAAATCGAGTGCATGCATTACCCCTAATTAACAATGATGAGCATCGACATTGTTGTTGACAACTTGCGACAAAGTTGCTTATAGTCAAAATTGATGTCAACATCATATATCAGTTTTATTGGCAATGCATTTGTTAATAATATTGGTGAAAATGTTTGATGAAGTTGGCAAACATCAACTTTGAAGTCCATAACATGTATTAATCTTATTTTGTAGATAAAAGTAGGCAAAGTAATCAATGAGAATTTGCATTGATGTAAAAAATGTACATCAATATTATTGGCGGTGGTATACATCAATACTGTTGACATAAAGAGCGACAAAGTTGGCCAACATTGATGTTGGTGTTAACGACGTGTTAGCTTCATTAATGATAACTTAATGATAACGTGCATCAAAGTCATTGATAATAGTGGGCGACAAAGTTGGAAGATAGTGGTTAGCCAATAATAGGTGGGGATGGTCTAGCCGTTGTGATTGATTGATGATGGTTAGACTACGGTGATCAAATGATAATAGCTGAACGCGGGATCAAATGAGTGTGGTTAGTAAATAATTTAGTAACAGTGTTCTAGCAATACCAGTTGCTAGCGATAATTGTTGATGTTGAGCATCAGGTAGCTCTTTAGTTTTCATATACCTAAGATCTCTCCAAATTCAATGTTATTTCATGTAGAGAATGAATTTCTATTTATCATCTTTTGTAGTGACATTTTGATAATTTTAAACAAAAATCTCAAAATACTCTATTTAATAACTAATTCTTGTAATTACAAATTATTATTATAGCATCTAAAGACATTAATAATTTCAGTCAAATGACATTGATAATTTATTCCTTTGTTGATTGGTGCAAAAATATAAAACCATTGAAGTTTTAAATAGTGTAAAACTTGGTCCTTTTGAAATCTCAAAAGGACTAAGTTTTATACTTTTGGAATATCTTTCTCATACCAAAAGGACCAAGTTTTATACTATTCTTGCTATATTATTTTGTAGTTATATTTTCTTATTATTTTTCAAAGATTTATATGATGAGAAATAAATTCTTATAACTAAATATACTAAAATGTGATGTTTATAAAGAAATGATTGTTCAATTATTTTTAATAAATAAACCTTTTGCATTAAATTTTAAGAAATCAACATTCACAAAAATATTCTATAACAATTTTTAGCCAAAATAAGAGTCAGTTTGATGTTTGATGTTTGATGTAGCTTTTAACTATTTTATTTTTAAGGCCACCAATACATTATTGTAATTTTTTTTTTTCGAGAAATACTATATTGAGAAGCCTTTTAACATTATCTTTTGAGGCAATTCTTCGGCTTCTTTTCAAGAAACAATCATATTCAGTAAATCTGGTTTTTCGAGTTCGCCGAACGCAATGTTTCAAATATGATCTGAAACGGTGAAAATTTATTGCTCTTACTATGCAACGTTCGAAGATGTTCTGACAACACTTATGTGCCAAAGCAAAATTTTTTCTTGGCAGCAGCGTTCCGTGCAACCAAGCAAAAGTTCAACACGTTCTCAAACAAAGTCTAAGTCTGTCTACAATTACTTCTCTTTTTCAAAAGTTTCTAACAATGCGTCGTTGCTATAGAAAATTATTGTTTGATTTTTTTTAAAAAATTAATATTTATAATAAGCATGTTAACTTCACAAAAAATAAATTTTTTTATTACATCAAGCACTTTTATAAAAATTACGGACACTTAATGTATGTATATAACAACTATTACAATTTTTAAATATTTATTTTCTTAACATTAACCCTGCAGTTTCTTCAGATATCCATAGAATTAAGTAGCAAAACTCTTACAATTTTTAAATCATTATTTTCTTTACAGTAACCCTACAATTATCAGATAAATCCATTGGAATTGAGTGGTAGATCTGCAAATACATATAAATTGGGTGCTATGGATGTAAATATTTCTTTATATAAATCTGCAACCGCTTCAAGGAGGAGGTAGGCTTTTAAGAGTATCTCACGGTGCGTCACGGGATTCTTAAAATCAAAGAGCCGGGGAATAAGAGCTGGGGAACACAGAGCTCAAAGGTAGGTTTCCGTTCTTCACAATGGAGGATTCTTCGCGAATGCCTTTATTCTGCCCTTTGGATTCTATATTTTTACTTTTTTCAGATATGATTGTTCTCCTTTTCGCAAAAGTGCAGCAGTTTTTTAGTTTTTTTTTTCTTAATTTATTTCTGCAATGCGCTTTGGTTTAACTGAGATCTCTTCTAATTCTTTTCTTTTTCGTCTTCTTTTAATTTCGCTGTTAAACACTTACATTTTTTAATCTGGATTTGTTCTTGATTTTTCTTGATTTCTATGGCTTTATCCAATGTGGTTTGCAGTCTTGGACCGAAGTCAATGGTGATTTTGCCTCAATTTTCACTAGCATGTTTCATTTCTTACTTAATTTTTTGTAGATTAGCTTAGGATTTCTCATGATTTGAGATTAAATTAGTTGGCACATGTTAGCTAATTTTATTTAATTAATCCACTCTATTTGGTTAGAGTTGATGAATTGCATCTTTCTTCTGCTGAGTAGAAAAATTATACACGTCTCTAATATTAAACAGAAGTGTGTGAACTTTAAAGCAGGTTTTGGTTGTTACGAACAGTTTGATTAGCTGATCTGTAGAAGGTTATTTCTGTTAATTTCAGAATCATAGGTACATTAAAGAAGACTTTATTATGTTTTGGCTTGTATATATATATATATATTCATTGAACAATTCATATTTCCTTTTAGCGACATAATTGGCTTTTTGTCTAACAAATTGGAAAATAACTTGCGCAGTGCTTTTTTTTTTCTAAGATGTGTAAATATAAACTCAAATATTATGATTAAGAACACACTTGAAAACATATGATAATCTGGCATGAAATAGAAACAGAAAACAAAAGAATCAAGATATGAAGCGCAAATGCTGATAATTTTCTTGAGTAAATAACATCTTTTATGCAGAATTTCATGGAATCTTTTGCTGCCAAAATATAGCACTTTGCGGCCCATGTGATCTTCATGATCATGGGAGATTCCAACATGGGAGCATTTGAGGCACGATTCCCCACTGGCTTGGGTTTACTCCACTAAGTTATTTGACCGGGGGACCCAGCTTGCCTTTATTCTCTTCATTTTGTGACTTGATTTTTGGGAAATACACGTAAACAATGCAAACATTTAGAGCAAAAAATAAAAAATAAAAAAAAAACAAAAACAAAAACAAAAACAAAAACATAGAAAATGAAGATTAGTGCAAAAAAAAAAAAAAAGCTCATGAATTTTGTTTAGGTTCACTGAATTAAAAAATGCCACTACTGGTTTCAGTCTGATTGTGGAGAATCATATCAACAATTTCTCATAGATACATAAGATGATGCCTCTTCTATCTCTGTCATCCAAAAAGTACACTAAAGTACTCAAAATACCCTTAATAAAATTATCATAAATTTATGAGGCTTTTGATCCCTAGACTTTTAGGGGGGGCTCTTTGTTCTCCTTCCAAACATCGTGACAATCTTATTGTGACCTTCGACAAAGTTATTGAGTGCCTTTTGCTTTTTTTATTTTGGGCGAAAATCAGGCTTGATAACATTAGGAAAAAAAGTTTCACAAAAAAAAAGACTTGAAGAAAGTTAAAGTGTATAGAGAGTGTGTTGACAATTAAACTTGATTTTATCTCATATGAAATTGGGTTTTAATTGAGCCCATAATCTAGAACAATCATCGAAAAGTTCTAGAAACTCATTCTAAAAGAAAGTTTTAGAGGATTCTAGAAATATTTTCAAAAGAGTGTCTAGAAAAATTTAGGATATGTAACTAATGAATTATATAGAAGAGTATTCTAGAGAGTCAATAGTAGACATATGATTGAAATATGCTGGCACTATTCTAATGGCAGTGTCACTAATATAAATAGGTGTGATGTATTTAAGTTTGTATCAAGAAGAAAGAAGAGTGAAATAAAAGTGACCCCTTCAAGCTGTGTTCCTCTTCTTTCTTAGCATTCCTCCTATCCTAAATGTTTTAATTTTATTTTCAATAAAGTGGCATCAAAACCATAATAAAGTTCTTTCTAGTGAGATGACGATCGCACAATGGTATGATATCCTTTCAAGTTCCTTCTCTCTACAATAGCAACTATAACAATTAGAGCGTCAAGATGAAGGTTCTTCTTGGAGAGCAAGATGTATGTGAGATGGTAGAGAAATGCTACATCGAGCGACAAGATGAGTCAATCTATTCCAAACTCAAAATGATTGTTTAAGAAATTAGATGATGCCAGAACTAGTAGAAAAAATAATGGAAACGTAAAAAAAAAATATTGATAATGAATTAGGGGTTACAATACAAGGCAACAATACAGAACATAAACAACACAAGAAAACTCTTCTAAATGTATCCCAATGGATGGTAGAGGTCGATTAGAGGGATAGGGATGATTGGAAAGGATGACGACAGCCACGGGAGGCGGGTGGCAGTGAAGGGAAGGTGTAGAAAACAAGCAGGGGATAGGTGGGTCGGTAACGGGCAGTGGAGTGGCTTGAAGGAGTTTGGAAAGTGGCCAGAAGGTTGGACAACAATAATAACGTGTAGAAAAGAAGATGACAAGGTGTTTGTTGGTGACAGAGGAGAGTTCAGTGGATGAGAAGTGGGAACGAGAAGGTTTAGGTAAGGTAAAAGGGAATAATACAATCATTACGTCGGAGAGGATACAACCGGAGTACTACCACCTCCTCGGATACAACCGAAGTACTACCACCTCCTCGGATACAACCCACAAGAAGGAAAGAACTCCACATAGGAATCTAAGAACAAACACAACCAAAACTGCCTCCTACATATAGGGGACAAAAATTTATAAACGGTCATTGGACGGAGGAAACTTCTACATAAAGGCAGAGAGTGGGAAAGCAAGAAGAATCTATAAAAACCCTACTCAAACAAATATAGGTGAGGCAGACTAGCGAAGCGACTCCTTGGATCACGAGAGTTTGCAATTTGCCTCCCTCCATTACGTGGGATTATGATCTTGTTCCGTCAATTGTTCCTGTGAAGCTTCGCGGGTTGTCTAGCTCGCGGGATGGAAGCACCCCATTTCGGGTCACATTCAGCACCCGCAGTAGACGGCTTGTTTAGCTCTTATGTCAGTCTCTCGTAGTTGGGGGAGCTTTGACTTCATAGGTCGAAGCTTCCGTTTCGTCGTCAGTCACCCCTAGATCTCACTGATGACTGCACTATCTCTCATGGTACCTGAGGGTCTTCTCTCATGAACAAGCAAACATCCACCTTAATCTTATCTTTTAGGGCTATGTGCCCCACACATACTACTAAATTTTCCTAAAGCAGGTGGTTCAGTTTGTGTGCCATGAGAGTGGCCTGAGCCCTCCCGGTTGTGGTGGAGTTGGCGATACGACATCGACTGTAAGGTCTTGAAATCTTATTCTTCATATTTTACCCATGTTAGGAGTCAGTATCCCGGTCCACTCATTCTGTGTCACCACTAAATCTAGTTCCACTGAAACTACTCTATTGATAAGGGATCCTGTGACCCAAGGCTCCGTTGAAGAAAGGACGGTGATGCGCTTGCCGTTCTTGGTAAAAAAATATGTGTTTCTATATCCGTCGTGCTGAGTACTTCAGTCAAACTGTCATGGCCATCCCAATAAAAGATGACAAAAATCCATGAGAACCACGTCACACTACACTTGGTCCTATAGTTGGCCTCCAATTGAAAACTCTACCAAGCATCTTCAGTCGATCTTGAACCGATTCTCCTTCAGTCACGTAAGTAAATATGGTTGAGAATGCCTTTTGAGTCACAAGTCTCAATCTCTTTGCCATTTGTATCGATGTCACGTTCTTGCTGCTTCCGTCATCAATGATTACACTGCATACATTTTCGTTCACTGTGCAGCGAGTGCAGAATATGTTGTGGTAAAGCCACTGCAAATCCTTCGTGTCCTCAATCTGCAGAATCCATCGAATCATGGTGCTTCTTCGTTTGGTGGGAGTTGATACACCTCATCCTGTTCCTCAACTTTCTTCTTGTCCTTTATCTCTTCTATGGTGCCTTGATCTGTGAGTGTGAATACCCTGCTCATGGAGCAGCTGGAGGCTATGTGGCTGGGTCGTGGCATCAGTAGCACTTCCTAGCTGGTACCGTGTTGGAGGAGTTACCCTTCTTCTGTTTCTTCTCGCTTTGATCCGTAGTGTCATTCCCTTTTCTGGGCTTGCTTGTGTCTTCTGGGTTACTTTTGTGTAGTGTCATTCCCTTGTCTGGGCTTGCTTGTGTCTTCTGGGTTACTTTTGTCGGTTGTTGGTAACTATAGCTGAATACCTGTCTGAAGGTTGCTGCTTGAAGGATAATTGTTGCCTTTCCACTTTTAAGACTAATGTTTGAACATCTCCCAACATCCAGTAAGGTTGCAGTTGCACCACATTGCTAATGACAGACTTCAGTCCCCCAAGATATCACACTAATGTATGCTCTTCCAGCTCTATCATTTCGCACTTTAGGTGCAAGTGATCGAATTGGGCTATGAATTCCTCCACTGAAAGGTTCTCCTATTGTAAGTGGTGGAGTTTCAGAAACATATCCTAACGATAGTGGGGTGGGAGTTACTTTTTCTGTATTGTCTTCTTCATCTTCTCCCACTTAGTTATCTTCTCACAGCTTTCTTTTCTCCTTTGTCTCTGTAGATTTTCCCACTGTAAGGAGGCATTCTTCTTTAGTTTAATGACAACTAGCTTGACTCGTTTGTCCTCTAGTACATCTTTATATCAAAAAATTCGCTCAAATGATTGCAGCCAGTCAATAAAATCATCGGGATCCGTACCTCCCTCAAATTCGGGGAGGTCCATCTTGATGCCAAAGTCCCACTGACCTCCAATAAGGTACCTCTTCTCTCAGGCTCCTTTGATATTGTATACCAAAACGACGTGGTCGATATTCCTCTTCATCGTGATCTTCCCTATGGAACGAATTCATCTCTCGTCCTTGTATTCTCTTTGACTATCTCGATCAATGATCGAAGGTAATCTTTTC